GAGGAACAGAAAGTTGTAATGTTTCTTTACTCAGGATTTAAACCTGCTCACTTTTGATCTGAGACAAAAGAAAATGGACGTAATGTCACACGAGTTTAAATGAATGGACTTGACATTTCTCGCTTTCCTCTTGTTTGGTATAAAATTCTCCAGTTGGTCTGCAAATTTTAAGACACAATTTAAACAATGGTAAAATAATCTTTCATTGTTTTATTCGGTTTTACTGTGTCACAAAGCTTGGCATCAGAAGGCCCAAAAAGCATAAATCATATGAGATGATGCCTCAGAGACATGTTAAGTTTTAAATCAAAGCCATAAAATCGAATAATAATTAAGTAGATTACAAACACAGAATACTGAAGGAAAAAGACACAACTGCAATCTTCACCCCACACTTTGATGTGCTTGGCTGATCACCGGCTTGGCAGGCTCTGCTTCCCCAGGGAACAGAACACACATTTGATTGGCAGAAACAAATTCATTACTGCGTGAGATCACATTCACCTTAGAATCTATCTGTCTTTACAGGCTCCAAGCTATTCATTTGAACCCAACACAAAGACTAAGATCAGTCAGCATCCTATAGTAGCAGCTAGTTGCGAGCTGAATCAACAATGTTAGTTTGTATTTGCAGAGTGCAGGGTCCTCAAATTTAATTTATGTACTCTCAAGATCTGGAAAAACACAAGAAAAGAAGATAAACATCCATGAATGAGGAGAAGCAGGAACCCTGTGTGGTTATCCCCGACTCCCCTGGTCAGCTCAGGTTCTACTATTAGTTTGACACACTTCACGTTTTCCAAAAGGTGCAATAAATCAAGGGTATACCTTGGTTAAACATTTAACTAGGTGAAACCAGAAATTTACAAACAAAAATTGTCATGTCAGAAGTTAAATCAGAGTAAAAAAATGATTTGCATTTGTTAAAATGACTGAAAGGATCTCAGAATTGTATTTATAAAAATCTTTAAAATTAGATTTTTACATACTGCCATTATCCTGACTTGTTTGTGTGTTGTGCTTCCTGTTTAGGATCCTCCCTGTATTCCTACATCTTAAATCTTGCCATTTCAGTTTTCTCTATGTTCGTTCTTTTCTGGCTGTATTTTCATTTGTACATTTAGATTGAGGCTCCTTAAATGAGTGTTTCTTATTGTTAACTGTTTATGATAGTTTCAGAGGTTTTCCCCTTAAGTTTTATGGTCTCCCATTTCTCCTGCTCTTTTTATCTTCCTCCCTCAGCGTGCCAGCTTGCTTCCCAGCACAGCTGTTCTCAATCACCTCGTTCTCCTCTGCGTGCTTTCTCCCTCAGCTGTTCTCATTTCCATCTGATTAGGCTTTTAGGTTGCATTGTCATTTCTACCTTTGCCTCAGTAGCTTCCCATCCTCGTTGTTTTGCCGTTGCTTTCCATTGTTTGGGGTTGCTCATCTGTGGCATGTATCTGGTTCCCTGCAGACCCTTTTTTTAATTGCCATGCATATTATGACTATGCCCAGTTTTTGTCTGCAATTTTGTCCAGCCTCTACAACACCAGGCATACTACATTTCCTCAGCATTTTGTAGCATTGCCTTTGAACTACATGGCTTGGGTCAAATGTTTTGGATTTTTCTTCCACAAGCTTCTCACAACAGTGTGCTGGAGTTCTGGCTCGTTCCTCCAAACAGAACCAGCGGAACTGAATCAGCCTCTCTCATACTCATCTTTTCAGATCTGTCTACAAATTCTCAGCAGGACTAAAATTAGGGATTTGTGGTGGCCATGCCAAGACATTTTAAGCTATAGAGGACAGTGTGAGCCCTAGTGTTCTCTTATGTCTAAAGAGTCTGCAGTCTCCAAATGGAAGACAAGAAGTAAACAAAATCTCAATCACAACAAATGCAATCTGTGATGCCTACCACAGGAAAAATTATATTTATCATAAAATTGTACCAAAAAAAAAATCTGGATTTCATTTTATGTTTACTAATCACATGAGAATTGACGCTTGACAATGATACCAAAAGTAGCCATGTCAATATTAGAACAAAACCTTCCATTGGCAACATTGTATGCTACTTCAAAGTAGAAAAGTCGAGTCAGAAAAGATACTTAACAAGAAATTTACTATCCTGCTAATACTCTGGTTAGGGAACATTTTATTCTGATACTAATGTGGATGTATCTACTCCTAAGACAATGCACTACAATAAATTTTGAAGAGCTCCAGGAGTACAACTAATTAGATGCAGTCTAAGGACCCCCCCAGGTCCCCATCACATTTACTATCTATGGGTCTCACCAGAGGAAAGCAGAACCACAGAAGGGCCACCCTGAATTCAAGGATCTACTGCTCTCATCTCACTGCCAGACACCCCCAGATTCCCCAGTCTGTCAAAATGGTTTAGGCAACATGATGCTATATTGCACTATTTTAGCAGGGAGGTTATTACTTTCCATAGTAAGCACTGATTCTTTTTATTTTTTTTTAAGAGAAAAGCTGTCAAGGATTTGTTAAAGTAGCCTAACACTGATTGAATCATTTTTTTTTATGTCAGTGTTCTCATGTTGAGCACCATGTAGATTTTAGCAATGCAGTTTTTTCATCTGTACAACATTTAAAATGTACTATGAGGGAGATACAGTCATCATCTACCTTACTATTTACATCTTACTATTACCAGATGGGAATCGTTTTGTCTTCAGAACTGCCTTAATTCTCAAGGGCATAGATTCAACAAGGTGTCTTATAACATTTCTGAGATTTTGCTCTATGTTGACATGTTGGCATCATACAGATGCTATAGATTTACGACGCAAACCTCCTTTCCCACCACTCTCCAAAGGCGCCCTACTGGGTTGAGATCTGGTTACCGTGAAGGCCATTGGAGTACATTACACTTACTGTCATGTTCAAGGATCTATATCTATAGGGAGTCCCTGACTCCTGTAAGCATGTTATCAGGAGCTAGATGTGAGTTTATTGAAGACCAACTCTATGTGTTGGGTCAGGGATATGTGGGAATAAATGATAAATCCATAAATTGTGTCAGTGCGTTGTTTGAACAAAGTATTTCTTAGTCAACCAGTTAGAGCAGAATTTTGAGAAAGTCTGCTGAAACTCCAGCTTGAGTAAAATAAATTAAAAAAAATAAATAAAATACTTGTTATCTTGCCTAACTTTGAAGCAATAAAGAACTTTATATTGACTTTGTATCCAACTGGAAGTCGGTATTGTCTGAATAATAATGCCACAGTTTAACACATAACTGCATTGTGCTGTTTGAGTTTACATATTTTATGTCCTAATATATGCAACACATTACGCAGTAGTAAGTACCATATTCATGCATTGATTCATTCGCCCACTCGCTGTGTGTTCCTCTTTGAAAGGTCAGAGATGAGCTTACTTGATTCTCATGTGTGTGAGCACAGAAGAGAACCGCAGCCATGAGAGGAAAAAGTCCAAACAAAAGCACTGGCAGAGAGATGGTGGTGGAGATTAACCATGAATATTTCATCCAGTGTTTTCTTTGCTTTGTATGTTGTCCATGTGGAAACGGTACTGCAGAGATGGAATAAGATCTGACTATATTTTGAACCCGCAGATTACAGATTGGTTTGTCAAACGGTTACATTTTGGTTGGTTTCTGTCAGAAAGCAGCATGCTTGTCAAATTTGCCAAAAGCAGTTTTTAATTATGGAATAATCCCACTCACATTGTCTGCTACTGCAGTTTACATATGGATTGTGCTTGGTGAATTTCTCTCTATAAACAATACTCTGGCAACATTATTGTCATGCTTGGGGGACATTGTTGCCGCGTTCTGCTGGAATCGGGGCCAAAATCTTAGAGAACAATATGGCAGTGCTTGTGTCCCTCTCATCAACATAATGTGCACCAGTGGAGTAGTATGCGTGCCTGTGAGACTTGGGGAAAGGCCAAAACGAACTGTACGCTGCAGTAAGAGGTTTTAGCTGGGAGGGGTTCAGCAGTCAAAACAAATGAACTCACAACTCCTAAAATGCACAGTGAGCAGAATAAGTTAGCAGCAGCACAAAAAAAAAAGAAGTCAGCTGAGGCGTCATGATTTGTTCCATCCAACTGTATGCAACACGCGCTGAGGAGAGCGTTCCTCCATATTTGAATGGATAACAGAGGATTCCCCTGCCCTGGCAGCCCTGGCATAGAAGTTGGCCAACTGTATGACTGGATACTCACCGCTCAGAAGAAGCAGAATCTAAAAATTCAGCCCTTTTGTTTTTTTTTTTTTTGTTTTTTTTTTACCGATCAGCGAACACCATCTACGTAAGCTCTACTGGGTCGTGTTGAAATTAACAATCACCAGTGTGGAACATTTTGCTGTGAAAAGACAACTTAGTTATTTTCAATATCTCAGAGGTTTCTGCTAAATTAGGAAATATTTGCTTTCTTTTGGAAAAGGTCCAATAGCTCTATATGTAATACAGAGACTTGTTTGTATGTTATGCTCACCACATGCAAACCATGCCAATAATGCTTATTGTTAGGAGAAGATGTTAAGACAGTTTAGAATGTAAACTCTGACCATTTTGTCTTTGTCTAAAAAACTTTGTAAACTTCTGTTGAAACGCAGAGCTGTGTAACACTGACTGCTCCCCATGCATGATGTTTCCGCCGGTCCATGTAAGTGTGCACACCTTTTTCATTCTGAGGTGTGCACAAAAGAATTATATATGGTATAATCCGTCTTGTAAATTATATATACTTAAATACTTTTCACAGTGAAAGCTCTCTGTCATGCCTTGAATAAATTATTTTACTACAAACATTTAAATGTGAAGAATTTTCAGTTTGTGCAAAAACTAGACAGCAAAAGTTTGTAGAACTGCAATAAATAGCTAATATCGGCATCAGCAGGTCAGAACTTGACAAAACTATTGATATGAAAAATGTATAGATAAATCCAACTTTGCAAGGCTGAGAAATGAACTGATAAATGGAGACCCTGAAGAGTTTAGAGAGGATTTTCATGAACTTGCCTTTGAAGCAGCATCGAAGCACACAAATCCCATGCTGAAGTCAACTGTAAGTCCCATGAGGTGGCTCTCCATTATGCAAGCATATGTTTTACACTGCAGAACAGCAAGAGACGATGTTACAACAGTTACAGATATCTCGAGAGTATTATCAGTTTTTTCGTGCTAAAGCAACTGTGCTGAAACAGCCTGAGGCTGTTTTAAATAAAAAAACAGACCTGTATCCGCTCCACCTCCAGAAACGTGGCCATCTGAAAAGCCTTTTCCCATATCAGCAGTTCACACTCCAGCTCTACGCTGAAGAACATGTCCTCCCCACTCTCTGTCTGAACACTGAAGCAGTGTCTCCTTTTGTCCAAAAGGTCACTGTCCTAAGATAACACAGAGCGCGCTGACAGATAAGGCAACAGCAGCACAGTTCCCTGACAGGCGTTACTAACTTTAATAATCATAATCTAATGTGTCACCTCACAGCTTTCTATAAACTAAATTGCAATTTAAGGTCAGCCTACAGATAATTGCATTTGTGAATCTATATCTAGCTATTCAAAATCCGTTTCTAGATAATGAGTGGCAGATAAATTTTCACCATCAAATTCAAAGTGACCTGAAACCTGCATAGAATAATAACTACAAGCCTCGAGTCTGTCTGTGGAACAGCAAGAAGAATACATGCAAATGTACTGTATAAGTGAGTCATATGAGAGCATCCCTCAGATTCACTTCTGCTGCTTAATATTCTCCTGGTGTACCCTGTTTGAGATCCGCTGCTCTAAATGCTTGGGGAATTGAGTAAAAAAAAAAAAAAAAAAAAAAAGAGACTGTGATACCTTTAAAATTTTGCACATTATTTCATACACGGTAAAGCTTTTCTCTGCTCTGGTCCAGTCCCACGTCGTCACCTGAAAACAGCACATGAATGTTGTGTTTGATTTAAGAAATGTCTCAATGGAGAGGAATAAAAAAAAGATCAGGAACTGTGCCTAAGAGGAAACATAGCATGTTTTTTTTTTTTTTTTTTTTCAACAGGGAATTCCTTGGAAATACTTTTTATATACAGAAAAAACAAAATATTTACAGAACAATGCACAGTGCTTTTGATACTAACATGTCAAATCCAAAGGACTGGAACATTACAGTATTTCCTTGCTGATTGATTGATGTACCCAGTAACTTGCAAATAGATTTCTTCCCATTTTCAGTGTAGTTGATTGAGATTTTATGATACAAGTAATCCATTTTTGTGAAGCAGAAGGAAAATTATACTAATCTCAAATCTAGTCATATTTCCACAGGGAGAACCTGTGAAGAGCAATTTTCAAATCTTGCCACAGACTCTCAGTTGGATTAAGTTGGCTCCTGCTGTGTTGGATGGAAAACCTCTAACGTCTCAAACTTCTAAGAGGTTTACTCGCAGGGTTGCCCTGTATGTTGCTCCTTCCATCTTCCTATCAACTCTGATCAGCTTCCCTGTCTCGCTGAAGATAGCTCTCCAAAAGCACATTTCATTGTAGGTTCAGGGTGATGTGGCATGTTGGTTATTCACCGCATAGTATTTTGAATGTAGACCACATAGCACATGGTTCATTTATGATGTCTGACAAGAAACCTTGTTCTATGTCTCAGCTGAGTTCTCTACATGGGTTGGGGAACATTGTTAATGGGACATCGTAAGGCTTTCTTTCAATAATAGCTTACTTTTTTTTTTTCAAAAATAACTGCACTATTAATAGGAGCAATGGGTTTCTGTTGCTTCTTCAGAGTTACCAAGGCCTTTTTTACATGCATACAAGTAGAGTGTGTATAAGACTTCTTGAAGCAGTTGGTTGAAGTGGATTTTATGGGATTTAAGGATGTCACTCTAAAGGGGGTCAGAATCGACTCTATGCTTTTCAGACTTGCATTTTCCATCCAGTTCACCAGTATGTGCATCCCAATAAAATTCATGGTTGCAACGTGACAAAACTCGAAAACGTCAACGGGGTAAAAATGCTTTTCAAACCCACTGTAGCCTTTCGAATTCCAGTTACATCCTCCCACATGCAGGAAGCCATAAATCCCAGATAGCTAGTTTGGATTAATAACAAAACATGTCCTGACTTTTGAACATGCAGGCTCTCGTGTTCCCTCATCCACTCACATTAGCATATTCCATTTATATCAGCACAATCACCATCAGCAGGCAATTTCAGTTATCTATCAATCTCTTGCCATCAACAGGCCCATTGACAGCTTATCCCACTCGTCATAATAACCCAAATAGCTGGCAGAATGTAAACACATTAAATGATCATCATCAATCAAGACAAAGATCAATGCACCACAAATGATTATAAGTGAGCTGCTTCCTGTTTCTTAAATAGGGAAGCATTTTTTTCCCCCTCTCCCCACCAGAAGATTAAAATAAAAAGAAAAATAAACCCCCCCCCCCCCCCCCCCAGCTTCAGGAGCAGAAAGCATCAATCCAAAACAGGAGTTTGATCTGATGAAATAGAAATTAAACACAAGAGAATGCTTACGGGAGGAGCTGTGAACTTGAAGAGCGAGGAACCCCTCAGAGCGAGGAACTTTGGTGAGTACATCCTGTCCTGAACAGAGTCCTGCTCCTTCTCGTCGACCCAGCCCATGTAGATAATCTGTGCAATAAAGCAAACAGCATTGTATACTGACTGTCATGACACTTTCATAAACATGACATAACACCTGTCATGAACATGAATAAGTCTTCATGAATATTTACGACTGTTGTCATAAAGCGTCATTCGGTAAATTATGACACTTTTAATACAAAGTTGACATTATCCAAAATGTATTTGTTATGACAACTTGACATTAACCAAGAAATCATTACTGTTTAAACTTTACCTTTAATAAAGTTACCTAATTTTTAAAGTGCAATCAGTAATACTTTTATAACAAATTTATACCAGTAATGATTTTTTGGTTAATGTCAAGTTGTCATAACAAAGACATTTTGAATAATGTCAACTTTGTATTAAAAGTGTCATAATTTACTGAATGACGCTTTATGACAACAGTCATAAATATTCATGAAGGCTTATTCATGTTCATGACAGGCGTTATGTCATGTTTATGACAGTGTCATGTCAGTCTTATTCACCCCCCTTCAAATAAAGTGTTACCAAGATGATATAACTATGTTCACCAAATAATCACAAGAACATTTCATCCGTGAATATTTTGGTACTAAATCCAGCTTTGCAAAGCTGTGAAGTAAAGTGCCTGGAAAATGAGGGATTTTGCAACTGTAGAGACTATTTTTGTTCTTCCTTTGTCTTTATGAGCCTTTAGAGAAGAGTTTTTGTGTAAAGATTCCAATTTTTACCTCGGAAAACAAAAATCTACCTATATTCTGGCAAGTGCAAATTTTGACAGAATCTTCAAACCCCAAACTGACTCAGCAGTGACGGGTTAGTATCTGTACTTTTTCAGAAATTGCACAGAAGACGGACAACTAACTATTTAGTTTGTTTTGGTTTTAGAGAAGACTAAAAAGGGCCCCATTATTCTACACAAATCATGATGAGATTCGCTAAACATCTAAACTTTAAGTGAGAGAACTTAAGATTGGCTCTATAAAAATGTGGAGGACAGTGGGGTGGTATTAATGACACAATGGAGAATGAATTTCAAAAATTCAAGTCGTAAAATGAAGAATATAAATGGAGGAAGAGACCTTTAACATTTTTTTTACTAAATTGTAAAAACAAAAATGCTATTGCTGCAGAGAAATAAATAAGGACACCTCAGCATGACTAGCACAGTCTACGCATTTTAAACATTTGCTTTGTTTAGACCCCAAACATTTCACCTGGTGTGCTCCTCACACCAAATGACAGATTGAACTTTATTATTCTAGATATTATGTTAGGTGATGGTCAATGTTTTAGGCTTCAGCACACATGATTTAAATTATTGGGAGATAAGGAGGCTTTTGCTGAACTGGAATTCTCTGAATCTGGTGTGTTAAAGCAGGGAAACGTCTAAAACATGCAGAATAGTCTTGAGGACCACGGCAATTTAGCACACTGGAAAAAGTCAAATAAAATACAACAACTTTGAGGCCCAACAGGAAGAAAAGTAATTTTAAATACAACCCTTCTGTGTTTTGAATTTGTTGCTACTTTGTACACAATTTATTTAAACACAGTTTTCTTCATATAAATATTTCCCTGACATCTTTACTTCATTAGTATTTACACACTTATTTTCCAGCTTTATTCCGACTGGCAGCATAAAGGTTTTATCACATGTTTTCACGCCTAATTTATGGAACGTTTTCTTCCAAAAATGTGACAAGTTTTCATTTTTGGATACCCCTGACAGTATTTAATGATTTATGTTACGGTGAAAAGAGGCAAACCCCTAATTATCAAACGATATCTCTAGTGTGTCAAAAATCATACATACTTAACAAGTCAAGAGTTTGGCTTTATTTATTATTAATGTTTAACTCAGAAGTGCCAAATTTCATACATAGTTAAACAAGAATTTTAGATTCATGCTGAAAATACCAGAACAAATCTTTGTGTGTCAAATCGGGATAAGACAAAACATGTTCTTTTGCTGGTGAAGTTTTAACTTGACATCTTTCAGTTGGAGATCTTGTCCTTTCATTTATGTAAAAGTAGGCAGAAAATTATAAATCAGAGTGTTGCACAAAGAAGGATGAAGTTGTTTTAGGTAAAGTGCATTTAAACAGCTTATTGGTCAGTCTCTGTTGACAGTGCTGTTGTCCCTACTATTTCAAGTCAAAATATTGGATAGGGAAATAAGTTTGCATGGTGTACCACGTAACATCCATTTGTCTAAAGTCCGGTAATTGGTAAAATTGTGCTGCATCATCTAGATGGTCCAACTAGAAAGAAAATGCACCAAATCTCTAAGTAAAATTACAATTCTTTATAAGAATAATAAACTCTGGCACATGTTTACTGTCCTTTCTCCCTGATGGTACATACATGGGAATAACATAAGCTTTTTTTTTTCCCTGATAGATTTCTTCAGTTTTCGATATTTATTGCACCGAATGGTTTCAGATCACCCAACAAATTCTAATGTTAGAAAAAGATAAGGCACATACAGTTTCATTTGCTGTATGTTTCATATGCCTAGCCAAGTGTGAAAAAGTCCTGATGATTCCCCGACTCCTGGGGAAAATATTCTGTAGACTGACTACATTAAATTTGGAGGTGATCTCTCTAAGGTTTTTCAGCTTGAAGTTGGTATTTGTTTGAGTTAAAGTCTCCACAGCTTGCGAACAGGCTGTCAAAAGTCCCTTCATCCTGTTTGAAACAGACCTGCAAGCTTCTAAACGAGCCTAAATGCTTCCATATCCGGTTCCTCCTCCTCCTCATTAGTAAAAGTATACCCAAGGCTTTCATCTGACAAGTTGACAGAAACATTCTGAGTTTCAGCTTGGAGCTGGAAAAAAAAAATCAAACAAAAAAAAAAAAAATCACAAGCTGCTTCTTTGATTTCCTTTTTTGTTTTCACGAAACCAGCTGTGAAATCAAGGGCTGGTTTTATTCACAATAAATTGAAAATGTGTGAGAAAAGTCAACGATTTTTGGCTTTAGCAAAAACAGTTCTCACACAACTATGTCATCCTTATTTCTTCATCTAAAAACATGGGATAGGAAAAAATTTAAACATCTAATTTCCTCTGAAGAGAGGTGAGATTTAAGATTTTCAAAAATACTCAGGTTAGGACATGTCAATATTCTTCAATGGAAGGACAAATCTGTTTTAAATATGAACTATATGTGAAATATCTTTTGAGGTTTCATCAGGTTTAAAATATATATTTTTGTAATAATACAAGGTTAAAATGTTCTCACAGTCATACATACAAATGTTACATACAAATGTGTAGAAGGATGATGATATCTTGGTAAAGGTGTTAAAAAATCGTGAAATATTTTTTTACTTTTTTTTAAACTAATCTCACACTGAATCTTTTTAGAAAAAAATCCAAACTTTATTTTGAGCCTTTCTACTCATTTGTGGGGGGAAAAAAACAACAAGATAATTGTTTTGAATAAAATCACCAATATCAATTGTTGGTCTGAAAACAACAACTCTGGTCTGAAAAACTCTGTAAAAACTTAACACAGAGGCACGGATCTTTGACTGTTCCTTTCTGCACATTCTCTAAACATCCTCCAGAGTTTGGAGTTCACGTTTATGCTTTTTTTATGCTTTCGCTCAGGCACCTAAAATTCCAGTACATTGTTGCATTTCTTTACTGGTGAAGACAGAAGAGTTTATTATCTTTCTCAATGTAAAAGTACAAACCAAGAGGAAAGTAACACTGATCTAGGAGAACACCAGAATAAACTAAGAAACTAACTACTAGGAAATGAAGTTATATAGCAACAGCCCCACCAGACGATAATGAACAGAGGTATGAACTGACAAGAAGACGGCGAGACCTTTTTCTTCATTTACAAAATAACAAAGTGAAAAGATTTGTGACACTGTGTAATTTCCCATTGTGAATTATTACCTTAAATTTACATGGCCGCTTTTTTTGTTGTTGTTGTAAGGCAGAAGCTGCAGTAAATAAGCAGAAAGCCCTTGATGCTTGCTTGATTTTCTCCATTTAGACTGAAGGTTGACATGATGAGTTAACTGACTGAAAGCACTTAAGTTGTTTTCTGATCATCTCCCAGTGGATGGACTTAAATGATGCAAGCACTTCCCATGTGCTGTAATAGCTGGCAATACAGGCCTGTGTAACTTCTCTGACTTACAGAACGGCTCAGAATTACCTCAATTTTAATGTCGTCTAAAGCACAAACATTAAAGACATGTAAAATAAAGTGTGTTGAATAATTAATAGAAGTGCTCACCTGCTGGTTTACTGGAAAATTCCTGTTAATCTTCTTCACCTGCAAAATTTAACAGGAGCATCAATACCCACTGTAACATTTGCCACAAAAAATTGAAAAAACCCATTGTGCCTCTGTGCAAAGAAAAAAAGTAAACATTACAGTGGCAATATATTAACCACACATATTGAAGCAGAACTCAATTTATTCAAAGCATGCAAATTTCAAAATGAGATAGATCCAGCCACTTCCACGAGGTCCTGAGGCTCTTCCTTAAAAAAAATCCATTTAAAAACATCAATTCTCTCTCTGGTAATAAAAGCAGAGAGAGCAGTCAGGCTTCAAATTAAAACCCTGTGTTCAGATCACAGGTATCACTCGCAACTAATCCACAGCTACACTATCAATATAACTCTTTGTTAGAAGCAGAGCAGCAAATTAAGATGTCCATTCCCAAGTCCATCCTCCTACAGAGACAAGAACAAGCCAGGGGAGTGAGCAATTGTTAAACGATACTAAAGTTTGGGGAGAGAAGAAAGAAAAGCTATGTTTTTACTTCAGCAGAGAAACTGTGAAAGGGGGGAAAAAAGACTGATGTGAGCTGGGTGCGAATATATGGGAACAGTGACAGCAGATTTTCTCAGATTCAGCTCTAGGGTCTTTAGGCTGCAGGTTTGTGAAGCTTTAACTCAAATCAGGAGAGATTTATTGGTTCACTTCTAAGCTTCTAAACTCAAAATCAATAATCCACCTCTTTCTGTTTCTAAAGATATAGACAGGAAACTTCAGCCTCTGCCAGAATGTAAAGAGAAATAAATGTGTGATCAATTCATTTAATCTCTTACTGGTAACAAATTGTGTTGGTTCCTAGTTTATTTGGTTAGAAAATATTATTTAAACGTTCCCGATTATGCTTTTTCTTGAATTTGTCCTTGTTTATGACTTCTTATTATTGAGGATTCACAACATTTAGACCAAGATAGATTTGAAATTAATATTTACTGTACATTTAATTCCATTTTAAGAAACTTCACAAGGAACCATATTTTTAAAAACTGCACCAAAGAACCAAAACCCTGTAAATGACAACACAAGAAGCATAAGAACCATGCTGACTGAGCTAACCGGCTGCTCTTGCATTTTAGAACTGTCTACTTGTCATTGCATTATGTGTGAAGCAGCAGTTATGCAGAAAACATAATTGGGACTTAAAAATCATCTTGGAAACTCTTCCTATTTTTTATTTTTTATTTTTATTCCTTTATTTAACCAGGTAAACCCCATTGAGATCGAGATCTCATTTTCAAGGGGGACCTGGGCAGAAGTATGCCGAAAACTTATTTTTGGGAGGGATTTTATTGTACTTAAATCAAAGTACACAACAAATAGTAACAATCTGACACACTCACCATGTTATTGCAATGGTGGCAAACTATATCTAAATTGAGATTTATTGATTCTATACAATGGTCTGGCTAAAACCCTGAAATGTATCATTCTAACTCAATGCATGTGTTTCTTATGTGCTAAGCATTAGATGATTCCTATTTATTTTTACATCTGACTCAGATTAAAACTGTGAAGCATGAAGAGATCTGGGACGTGTTCACATCATCAACACAAAGCAATTGGTGAACGCACTTTCTGAACACCTGATGCCTCCAAAAACTGTCAGATCATTTAACGTTGCTGCTAAAAATAAAATAAACTTAACAGAAGCAATTCAACGTTTTAACCACTGAGAAGTGCAAACAAAAATCTACTACTGTTTGTCTCCTTTTTTTTTAATGTTCTGTAAATTCAAATCCCTTTAATCTTTGGCTACAGTATTTATGCATTATTTTTTTTCTTAATGCTTTTTCGTTTGAAAATATTTAATGCTGTCATCTCTTTCTCATGCACTTTCTTCTATTTTTAAGTATCCTAATTAATTGTTAAAATCACTAAATATTTCCTGCTGAGGGAAACTGGTTTTACAAATAAACTTGCTGTCCCCTGTCATGAATAATACAGGCTCCATATCAAAAGTAGGAAGCATTGTATCTTCACTTTAAAGTATTCAAAAATTATTAAAATTATATATTTGTGGCTTTAATTCATTATGGCAAACTTAAATAGCAATGTATGCATTTATTTGCCTTATTAGCAATGTTTTGTTATCCATCTATGTTACAGGAAACACAAATTTTACTTCAAGATTATTTTTAAACTCACACAAAAAGGACAACCCCTAATCTATAAGAAGGGAGAGTGATCCCAGCCCAATGCCCGCTGACTGAACTTAGAAATACTCTTAACAGTGGGAGCTGCTGAATGTTACTGAAGTGGAGCTTTAAAGATTTCCACTGAATTGAATCAGCACCTCTGAGCCCAAGTGTTCAGGCTGCACTTTGCTAGAAACAGCTGGAAACTTGGAGCTGAGCTGTGATTAAAAGAGAAAAAAAAACAAAAAAAAAAACGTAGGCTTGTATTCAAGGTCAATGCGTAGAGAAACCCGACATGGTGTGAAGAGCAGAGCGCCCAAACATGAACGCAATGAGTCATTAGAAATGGCTCGTCATCAAGCCTTCTCCGAACATCACATCTGATTCACAAATCGTGTTTGAAAATAAAATGGCAGACGGGCTTTGGCGTGCAACAGCACTGCTGCGCGGCAGCTGACTGGTGGGAGTCATTAGGCGCAGTGGAGCAAGTGCTTCCTTTCATAATGTCCTCAATGATGCCTTCAAATGCCTCGCTAAACAAATTCAAGAGGGGTTTCATGTACCCTGAGATGGCCTCTCCAGCCACTAGACCAGAACATCACTGAGCCTTTATGGGAGGTTGTTGAGCGCAGAGAGTAGAGTGGATTTTCCTCCTCCGCCATCGCTCAAAGAAATGAAAGCGTCTCGTCGTGACAAATGATACACGTTTGACTACAAATAGATTGTTCAAAAGACTGACATCTGCAAGCAACAAAGCACTCTATTCCTTAATTTATTTTCGAAATGCTGTAGTTCAAAAGGCTGCTTTTATTTATAGAAGAACATACCCTCTATACATGAATAATATCTTTCCAGATTAAATTAGACAAAACCTGTCCTGTCTTTGGTCAGTTAGGATTACCAAAAATTACTTCTATTTGCTAAATGCCAAAACAATCCAGCGTGAGCAACACACTCACATGTTCAAACAATTAAATATAAGCACAAAGAGGACAGAGAATGTCCATATGTCATAACATTTAGCATGGAGATGGATGGAGATGGAAAAACCCTTCAGAAAGGAAAAAGGCATTATTTCAAATGCAACATGACAAGATAGATTAAAGACTGAATATTCACTCAGAAAAAAAAAAAGAAAACCTTTGGAAGTCCTTTGGTCTGATACAAAGGTTTGACCCAAGTCACAAAGTGTGAAAGGATAATTTATGAATACTAAAGAAATGTAAACCTATGTATTTGAAGTTCTATTGCAAAAAGGGATAGTTTTTTAAAATGACCGAAAGCAGGACAACATCAGTGTGATTTAATATTAGTGAAAAAAGGGTTATCTTGCCATATTCTCTTTTTATATATCAGGTTTCAACTAAATATATATGGGAGTTAAATTTAAAAGTAGAGTTTTCTTACACTTTTTCAAAGATCTCTCTAGGACTCTCTTGAAATTACACAATGATGATTAAATCAATAACATAGTTTATACGTCCCAAATGCCTTTTTGGTGTTCCCTCAGTGTGATGAAAGCAGGAGGAAATCGGACGACCGAAACGAAACTCGTGCAGTAAATTACAAAATCTCCTTTCAAAGAGCCAAACAAGTAATACTGAAATGCACTAGTGGCTCATCAATTTCATTCACAAAACCAGCCGTAACAATGAGATTTTCTGAGCAGCAATCTGCACCTCACGCACCAGTCTATGTTACTCCTGTAGCTCGATCAAACACCTTTGTAAATGCCAAGGCTGCAGTGAGAAATCCAGTGAGTCATCTGTGTTATGTTTAGTGTGTCCCTCACTTGGTCCTCTCCAATTAACCATGGTTCCATTATCCCCCCCCCCCCCACCCAGACACAGAACCATCCCCATGGCCACATGATAATTACAAAATCCTCAGTTTTTATTCTGCTGCTAGCTTTATGCCACATTCATGTCCCTTGGAGAGCCAACACAAAAGCCTGTTTACGTCTATGAGGTCTAAAGCTTCGTAATTCCTTATTAATTCTCAGAGATTTCTACAAAGAAACAACAGAAATATGTTGAAGTTGTGTAAAGAGCCTGAAAATAAATGAATCGGTTGTTGCAGCAGTATAATTTCACACTGAAATGAGACAGAAATCAACTACTGAGCACTCATGATTAGGTTTCAAAAAACCAGTGTTAAGGAATAATAGATTGTTTTTTCTTTTTAATAAAAGAAATACTGCTACAATAACAGGAGCACTGTTCTGCTTTAACATTTTACAAGGCTAATGCATGCAGTGAGAGGAACCATAGACTAATATCTTTCCAAACTGATGATCTGTCTCTCGATCATCCAGAGTCTTTGTGTTTTCTACTCATCAGGTCAACCCAAGAGCTCCTCCATGGTCATGAAGGAAAGGTGAACCATGTCTGTGATGGTTTTTGTATTTGCTTTAGATTATCTGAAAAAAAATTAAGGAATAAAAGAAGGTCATTATCCTGATGAAATTTTATCATTTCAGTAGAACAGGATATTTTTATATATATTCTTCCCAAATATAAAAAGCTAATTTGAGCATTTATTTGAAGAAAATTATCAACAGTCAACTTAAGACAAAACGTTTAGTTCTCAAATAAAACAAGATTGTCTTTATTTTGAAACTACATTTTACTAATGTTTCATGTTTTTTGTTGTTTTTGGATTCCTGGGATCACTTAATTCAGGAGTCAACAACCTTTAGAATCCAAAGAGTCGTTTTTAGCATAGAAGTACAAAATGTTTTTTGAGAAGTACAAAATGTTTTTATATCAATTTACACTGTTGTGTAAATTGATATAAAAATGCTGCTATAAACTAGCATTTTGTATTCATTATTTTTATTCAATCACATAGCTATGATCTTTTTTTTTTTTTTTTTTTTAGCTGTTCAGCTATCAAGAGTCAATGTGGAGGTTTTAAAGAGCCACTAGGGGCTCTGAAGCTGGATACTTGAACAATTTTAATTCAGTCAATGCTCCAGCTCTTCACAACAGTCACAGCTGCTTAAGTAGCTCACCACTATCAACGAGACCTGTTGACCCCAAAATAAGCATTTTCTCTGCAGTTCTCTAACAATCAACTTTGGTAGTTTTTTTTTTTTTTTTTTTATTTTCATTTCAAACGGAGCCCCTAAGGGGACATGGGGGAAAAAAAAAAGGAAAGAAATCCCGACTTATTATCGCGAGATCCCGACTTATTATCTCGAGATCTCGAGATAATAAGTCGGGATCTCGAGATAATAAGTCGGGATCTCGAGATCTTGACTTAGTTTCTCGGGATCTCGAGATAATAAGTCAGGATCTCGAGATAATAAGTCGGGATCTCGCGATAATAAGTCGGGATCACGCGATAGTAAGTCGGGATCTCGAGATCTCGACTTAGTTTCTCGGGATCTCGCGATAATAAGTCGGGATTTCTTTCCTTTTTTTTTTTCCTCCATGTCCCCTTAGGGGCTCCGTAATTTCATCCTACTTACTGTGAAGGCCAGTTAAATAAATGTCCTCATTCAGCCTAATGGCAGTCAGCTAAATACACATATACAGCCACAAGGATGGATTTCTCTGCAATGTTCACCAGAGATTAAGCTACTGCATTAAAAACACATTCATTTTCAGATCTTTTTCGCATCTTTAAAGCAGTGTCTGCTAAAGTGGCATGCACAATTCATTCTTAACGTAGTGTCAAACATGTAAAATATTTCTAAATGATACACCTTCACAGAGATTTTATGCAAGCCATTCTCCATGATTGAGCTAGTCGGCTTGATGCATTTTCCCACATTAGCGTTAGTATAGCTCAAAAAAAGATAAAGCCTGGCTTCATCTTTGCTGTACTTGTACCTTGATGTCATTATTGAAAGATTCTGTGTGATGGATTTTAAATAACACAACCGAAGGAAGTGTAGGTTAATGGTATTGCTTTTCGTGCAATCTCTGGCTCTGAGATAAGTATGAAGACACATTATTACTCGTCTACATTACCTAATACCGTCTGTGACATTTCCAAGACAATCAACAAGACTGTGTGAGTGCTGCGTTAACAACATGCCCAATATCCCCCTGTTTTACACAGGGGACAGGGCTCTAAAAGCTGTTGTTGTTTTGTACTCACATTGTGCTTGGTGAGACTGGAAATGTTGCTTGCTATTGCTTGAAGCCAGTCCAAGCAGTCTTCAGCAGTGGGAAACTGTACGACTCCGCTACAAACTCCGTCCACAGCTATGACTTGGAAAGCATTTTTCCTGAAAGCGTCAAAGGAATAAAACATTACAGCAGGAGCTTTCTTTCAGTACATGTTGACATAACACTCATGCATTTTAATGTGTTTCAGGTAGCTATCAGACTCTATTTTACAAGTTGAAAGGAAACAATTATTATTCATCGTCTTCATTTAGTACTCTTATTCCCAACCTTTTAGTTGATTTTTTCCCCCTGTTTTTGAAACAATTAAATTTTATTTTATTTTTTTCTGAGAGCAACACAAATATTTGTGAAATAAATAACACTGATAATAACATGGTTCTTTATAGTTGAAATCTGAAAAAAAGTGACGTTAGTATGTATTCCGCTCACTTTACTCTGATACCCCTAAATCCAGTGCTACCAAAATCCCTTGAGAAGTCACCTAATTAGTGAATAGTCCACCTTTGTGTACAGCTGTTCTGTAAAGGCCTGAAATGTTTGTTAGTTTACATCAGTGAACAATCACCATCACAAATACCAAGAAACACATCTAAACAGCAGAATAGACCAGTGGTAATTCTGCAGGAGCAGCAGAGATGGGAGACTAATGGGTTGGAGGATCTGTTAACAGAGAGCACTCCACAAATCTGGTATGTATGGAAGGGTGGCAAAAAGAAAGAAACTATTGATAGAAAGTCACAATATGGCTCTTTTGCAGTTTGCCCCAAGCCATGCATGGAACACAGTAAACATAATAAGAAGGGACTCTGATCAAATGAGACTAAAATTAAGATCAAAGCCAGATTCCGATCAAAGCATGTTCAAGCGCTCCAGCAGCCCAGACAAAATCCAGACATTTGTCAAACTGAGAATCAGTGGCAAGACTTTGAAATGACGATTTGTGGACACTTTTCCTTTCAATCTGACTGAACTTTAACTATTTCTAAAGACAAATGGGCAAACATTTTAGCCTCAAGATGTGCAAAGCTGGCTGAGATATATTCTAAAGAATCTGCTGAGGGAGTGAATACAAGTAGATCCCTTACTCTGATTTTTACAGAACAATTTCTCCCACTTTATTAAAATGAATGACATTGTGTTGATTTATTGCATAAAATCACCCCCAAAAAATGCATAAAAGACCCGTATTGTAAAACGACAGAATGTGAACTGTTTAACAGATATAATGACTTTTGCAAAGCAGGATATCAACACAGAAAACATAAAAGCAATGAACAAAGATACGTTATATTTATGTCGATGTTTATAATTACACATAAAAATGTATAATGCTGCTTGAAAACTGCTTCTTCATTGTACAAGACCTTCAGTAACAGGTAGAAAAGTTTGCATCCTTAAAATATAACTCCTCCATTAGTTTGTATTTGCTTCTCGACACTGCGGGCAGGAAAGTTTTGCTTACCAAGGCAGAAAACTGCCTTACAGCAGATCTAAACTTGATAGCTAAAACCCATAAATTAACATTCTAATTTTTAGTTTAGAGACAGTAAAGGAACAACAACTTCAGTCTGAACCAACTGTGAGGTTTTAAATGAGATTATATTACTAAATGTTTTATTTGCTCCATCTGTAAAAAAAAAAAAAAACGCTAAAGTCTTAATGTCTTTAAAAAAAAAAACAACACAATAAAAAAGAACATATTTAAAGTCTGTGATGAATGTTTATCATCATTCAGCCACAACGAAAAACTGAAAACCTTGCCTGTAATATGGCCCATAAATCCTAAAAAACTTGTGCAATATCCTCAGCCAGCTGTCATTTAATGGGCTAAAACCGGCCAAACCACAAGTGAGATCCATTAACGTCTAATCCGCAAGATTACTGCATCTATCACTTACAGGGTAATAAAAATGGAAATACATTTATTGACAGCTTAATGGCTTAATACGTCAAGCATGGAAAACTCAACAGATCAATTCTGATGCATATGCCAAGAAACACTGTGCAAATAAAACTTTGGGAACAATTTTTAATGTTTTGATCCTAGTTGACATTTAACAAAGAAACAAAGTTATAAAATATTATTGAATAATACCAGCAATTTTTACTCGCGTCATTCCGTTTTAACAACAATCAAAACAATGCAAATTAGGTTTAGAAGGCAGGTTGGTGTATTCCTTAATGGTTTTGATATTTGAAAACAAGCCAAAAATGTTCACAATTTTATTGTTACAACAGTTTGATAGGTGTTTTGGGAAATGTAATGTGATACAACAACATAAAGTAGTAAAAATTGTGGAAGGAAAGAGGAAAGGAAAAAAAACACAATTTTCAGAATTTTACAAAAGAGAAAGTCTGAAAAGTGTGGATTCAGTCCCAATGAGCCTTCTTGGTAGGACCACCTTTTAAAGCAGCTATGGATTTTGCAGAATGTCTCTACCAGCTGTGCAGATCTAAATACTAAATATTTACCACATTCTTTCTGGCAAAATAGCTCAAGTCAGTTTGGAGTTTTATATCTTGCCACAGATTCTCAGTTGGATTTTGTCTGGACTTTAACTGGACCATTTAAACATGTGGATATTCTTTGATAAAAGCTACATTTGGGCTGCTGCTCACAGTTGTTTCAGTAAGTATCCTATTGATTAATCGATGAATCACTTTAAAAATCTGCAAAGTTTTCATTTAACTACTTAAGCTTATAGAAAGTTTAAAAAGAAAAAGAAGCATTTTATTGTCTAAAAAGCAATAGCTTTATCATTTGTAGAAAAGGATGCCTCTGTAGCTAAAAAAAAATACTGCGTACTGCATAACAACAACATGTGAAAAGCTCAGCCCTTTCTGCTTGACTTGTGTAGAGGTGATCTGTTAACAGTTTTTTCAAATGACTAATTATAATTGGATAGCAAAAGGCGATAATGGGAGGATTGGTGAGGTTAAAACGATACTACTTGAGGAGTTCTGGGTAGAGCATATTTATAAAGTAGGTTTTTCATCTGAAAAAAATTACATATTTTTTGTCAAGTTTTGGCTTAATTGCTGCTCTGAGTGTGTTCCTTCAACAAATGGCCTGTTTTAGAGCCTGTATACTCTAGTTAACAAATATTCAATTACCAAAGTAGTTGGTGAGTATTCCTCTAATCCATTAATTATGATTAATCCGATTACTTATTGCAGTTCTAAACCTTTTCATTGTAACTTTCTCTGAAGGTCCTTCAGGAATTCCTCAGTCTAAACTCTTTTGCAGCCTCTAACAGGTTCTCTTCCAGCATTGTCCAGTATTCAGCTCCATCTTCCCATCAATTCTGCTCAACTTCCCCACAGCATGATGGGGAAGTTGCCACCATATTTCACAGGCGGAATATTGCAAAGATCATAGGGTGATGTGCAGTGTTTGTTTTCTGTCACACGTGTTTTTATATGGACAAAAAAAGTTCCATTGCTGTTTCACTGACAAGCACCTTTATATGTGTCAGGTGTCCCCTATATGGCTGATGTAGGGGAACCTCTTATGGATTTCAACAAATGACTTCTTCTTGCCACTCTGTCATAAAAGGGGCTGCACAGCTAATAATTGTCCTTTTAACAGATTCTCATGCCTGAGCTGTAGGTCTCCTTCACAGTTCACATGAGCATTTTGGCATGCCCCTCTGATTAATGCGTTCCTCTAGCCAGCCTATCAGTACACATACGCCAATGGCTTTGTATTTCAGTAGTGCCATGTTTTTTTGTTTTTTTTTTCCATTTTGCCAATGATAAATTGAAGAGTGCTGTTTCAGACATTTAAAGTTTGGGACATTGTTTTTGATCCTGACTTCTCCAAAACTTTATCCCTAACCTGGCTGTTTTTTTTTTCCTTAGCCTTTCTAGTGTTGCTCCATTTTTAATGTTCCCCAACAAACTTCTGAGGCATTCCAAAAAACAGCCATGTTTCTACTGGGATGAAAACTAGCAGACTCTGTTTACTGTTTACCATACTTCAGAAAGCAATTGATTTTCATATTTTGAAATTGTAAAAAAAAAACAGATCCTTCATTATTTCTTCTAATTTTTGCACTTGTGTGGATTTATAAAATGTATTTAAATCGGTGGTTTTGATGTGGTTAAATAAGGAAAAGGTAAAGTTGAAAAACGTTAAAGTGGTAAAAATAGTTTTGCAAGTCACTGTACATAATTTGTTAAAACAATAAGCTTTTTATATGATCTGATTATGAGCATTATTAAAGTGTTACATGGCTACTATAAATGTTACAAACTGGTAATAACATATTAAATGCTGTGTGACATTTCCAATTGTTCTAAAATATTATTGTAGGACTGTCCTGTTTTATGAAAATAGGTTATTGAGCTGAAGAAGTACGCAAAGGTCTGTTTTATTGCACTTTAGATTTGATCTATGAGGGACCCAAACAGCTCATAAATAGAAGGCAGTTTTATTAGTGGTTTATATTTGTGGCTTAGTAAGTAAGATCGTGCTTACTGCTTTATTTAGTCTGTTTTGTGGGTTTAGTTCAGTTGGAAGCAAAGTAAGCATGTAAAAAGGATGTTGTACTAGATTTGTGAACTACTTACCACACGAAAAGTTCATTTTTATCAAAGAGAGCAAAGTATGACCAAAGAAGCCACGAAGAAAAATCATTTTAAAAAAAAACGGTCTATTTATAGATGGACCTCAGCAGAGTGCTCTGTTTTAAAATCCCCAAGAAAGAGATCTCAGCACAACTTCTATACTGAGCCTTGAAGAATAAAAAAAAAAAATAAAAAAACAGCCCTGTGCTTCAAGATTCTGCCTCACAGCTCACCTGCTAACGTCAGAGCCGGGGATGTACTGCGACAAGCGTGAGTGTAACAGAGGAATAAGGCGCAGGTCCACCCATCTCTTCTCCCACCGAAGCCCCGGAGAAGTGGGCCAGGACGAGCAGGACAACGTGTCCTGTAACAGCGTGAAGGATAAGTTAGAAGAGGATTTTATTTTGTGTGTGTGAGGTCTTACACATATCAAGAGATGCCACTGCTGCAGCTACTGGTGTTGCAGATGTACAAACAGGCTGCAGATTAGAGCTGATTCACCCCTTTTCAAGCGGTAAAGATAGAGTGTCGTGGTTATCAGTGCGCAGTGACAGTCGCATGGAAACAACTCGCTGGTAGTGAGACGCTTGTTGCACGGCTACAGGACAGTTATGGAATCGTTCAGTCACACAGTCTGAGGAGAACAGTAAACAGTACCGTGTTGTTGGGGTGGTAGTTTAAGTGCAGACCGCTGTCACACAAAGGAGATGATGTCCCACTACTCTGGTCGCTGGGAATGCCTAGAAAATGAAGCAAGTACATAACGGCTAAAAAAGAATGTATATATTATTTTCTCCATCTCTCTCATCAACAAGCGCTTGTTACTTTGTTCTGCTCCATTGCTGGCTCCTGCTTTGTGCCAATTTGTATTCAGCTGACTGACTGACGGCCAGTCAACCTGGCCTACATACGCATATAAAAGGATTTTACAAAAGCTTTCATGTCTGATGATGAGCTGAAGTTCTCTCATGAGACACAATCAATTGCACCACAATGAGCAATGAGTCAATTCTTTCAGCTTGGTCTTTAGCGCCTTTTGTGGAGTTCGACACAAGTCTCCTTTCCCGTTTTTCTCTCCTTAACAAAGTATCATCTTTCTTGGTCTCAACACAAACCAAGTGGTCAATTTATTATGTTTAGAAAGACATTGTTGAATTTCATATGCTGTATAAAAAGACACAATCTTGTTTTTTTTTTTTTGTTGTTGTTTTTTTCTGCCCATCTGATATTAAATCAAACTTTTCTGTTTTAGGTCAGTAAGGGATTACAATGTTTCTTTTTTATTTTATTTTATTTTTTTCTGGCATTTGCTAAATGCCAGAATTATCTGTCTTCTTCATTACTTTCTTGCTACCTAAAGCACTATGAAGTGCTTTAAGTGGTCACTGTGACTAGAAATGTCCTATATAAATTCAGTCCATTTACAAAGCTGGTCCAGTCATAGTGGTTCTGTCAAAAGGAGCCAAATATGTAGAAGATTGTACTCCAAATCTTTGAGCAAAACCTTAAATTAAAAGACATTTAAACCATAAATACAATATATGTAACCATCTGACTCTTAAGAAAGTCCAAAAATATATCTAAAACCCATATTATTCTGACATTTAGCAAATCCAAGTAATATTAGTAATCCTAACCAGTTTAAAACATTAAACCTTTAGACTGATTTAGTGTCACACAGAGAGAAAAAGTGAAAGTGTTGTCCATTCACTGTATGTAAACGTCACTTTTATTTTTCTCAAAGAGGCTTGAGTTTATTGTTTCCAGGACAACCACTTCTAGACAGAAAATAAGACCAGCTAAAAATAATCCTGGTTAATTACTTTCCAGTGCTTCAGCGTTTGGTGGAGGGTTCTTACATGTGCAGTCCTCACACAGCGGCAGTTTCAAAAAGGCTGGAGTCTTCTTCAGGAACGACACCGTTAGGGTTACCTCTTCACCTGCGTTTCTCAAAACCTGCACCTACAAGTTACACAGAGTGAAGTTTTTTCTTCACTGGGGTGGGGGGGAGGGTTGCTGAGGATGAGAGAGACATAGCATGGCAGTGTCTAGCTAAGAATGGAAATCCAAGATAAAGGATTTAAAGAAGCTGCATATGATTTCTTACAGTTGCTTATGAGAAGGGATGAAGGAGGGAAAAAAGTGGTTTTACATGTCAAAAAGATGCAAATCATCAAAATAAGACAAGATAAGCTGTTGAAAGAGTCGTTTCTGTGTGAGAAACTATGAAATGTGAGCTGACAGCTTACCACTTCCTCGTGGCGATAGCTTCTGACATTTATTCCATTTATCTAGAAAACAACAGTAACATCAGTTCTCTGAACAACATTTCACCACCAAAGCACTAAAGCTTTCTACAATATGATTAATGAGAGAAGCATATTATAATGCCTTTGGAAAGTATTCAAACTTTTACACAATCTGTGACAATCTAGCTGCAAGTTTCTGGTTGGAATCTAATAAAATGTATTTCACTATGACTGTAAGTCATGCACAAAGTTGCAAAATTGCAAAATGAATGGCATGGTTTTCAATTGTTTATGGATAAAGCTCTGAATGAGTTATGTATTCACTCCCTTAGACTACCTCACCATCAAATATGAGGTCAGTTAGATGTGATTCATTTCACTGAATCATTTTAATATGTTTTGATCTGAGTCATTCTGTTGCAGCTATAGCTTTAAATTTAGTTGCCATACTCAAAAGGTAAAACTTCAAACCAGTTTCTAGACTTGTCTAGTGTGTTCGCCAACAAGTGCGACTATATAAAATCTCAACAGTGGGATTATATTACACCTAGATGGATTCTGATTACTAATTTCTATATATATATATATATATATATATCCTTTTCTTCTACTTTTCTTTATGTGTACGTAGTACTTAGTTGCTCTGTCACATAAAATTTTATAACATTTTAGTTGTAAGATGGCAAAAAAGAAAAACACAGCACTATAATTGTTCTACACCAAAAGGTGTAAATATGAGAGTCATAATTACATGTCTCCCACAGTTACCAAGTGGGACACCATGTGTTATTTCTTTTTAATTAATTCCTTTGGCTGAAATATATGTGATAAATGAGACTTTTGCCCGTGTGGATGAGTAATTATTTCACATAGTTTCCGGGACATGTGGCACATGAATTATTAAATATACCGGGTGTGTTATTTTGCACAATGAGAGGAGAAAACATTAATGTGACATTTTTACCTGAAGGATGCCGTCTCCGATGAAAAGCAGCCCAGAGAGTTCAGCTGGAAACAAACAGAGCAACAACAAACACTTTATAGCAAGCACAAATTAGAGGGGCTGAAACATCGGGAGATGAGAAACATCAACAAAATGGATGTCATACCTTTTTGTTCTTTTGATATTTTTGATATCACAACAGGGATTTTGTGCTCTGCTCCACCCTGTGGAGGCAATACAAAATGAGCTGGAACATAAAGGCAATAGAGTGTCTGATGCTGCTGTTGTTGCAGTTCGACAAGGAAATGATCAATAACACTTGTCCACACTCGACTTGAATAAGTCAGGTTGGGCAGCCTAATCAGCTGAGATCTAAATTACCTTGATGCTGAGACCAAACCCTCCAATCGTCTGCCGTCTGATTGTTACAGTCCTCTCCTGCAGTTAGAGGGAAAAAGATGAGACTAGGCTGCTGTCAGACCTGTCAGGGATCACTCTTAAATTCAAATGTAGTAATAATGAAAGGGCATGAATCAAGATGAAAAAATGAATTTCAAAAGCACTCCATTTACTTTTAACGTGTACTGAAACTGCCAGCGTGGAGTCATATTGTCATATTGTGACTGTTATTTTCTCCTAGGTCCACATGAATGATTATGCCATCAATCTAATTAAAACAAACTAATTAGCAAAGCTTTCTTTGACATGGGGAGATCATGATCTGTTGTTCAATAATAGACAGCAGTGGAACACACGTCACGGTTAGCTGGATGAATGAGAATGAGGCTGTTATTTTTGTCATGGCCTTAACCAAGATCAAAACTAATCTTTACAAATGATTTACAGATGATTTGCCCGTGAGTCTGTTTTCCTTTCAGCAGTCTTCATTAAAATGAGAATATCCTTATTTAAGACAAAAATACTGTAAAATATGGCCTACATCATATTTAATTTGAAATTCTGACTGATATTAAAGTAATTAGGATTCAAAATGTTTTTTTTTTTGTTTGTTTGTTTGTTTTGCGTTCCACTTATGATGGTGAACTCCTAATTAAGAGAGTTTATTAAGAATTAGACACTGGGAGCAATGCAGCTGCCTGTTTTACTCTTTTCATTGTTTTCAGTGATTTAGCTGTGAACTATGTTATCGTTCAAGAAAATCAGACAAAAGCAACAAGAATATAAACTGTTGTAACAAGAATGCCAATCTCTAATACTTAGATATTAGTATTAGCATAGTGGCATAATATTCTGGTCATATGTTTGCAAACACACATTAATGCCATACTGATTGTGGGATTTATTTATTCTTTATTTAACTAGCTAAGCAATCTGGTCATGATTCATTGGTGGCACAAAAATTTTACATAAAACTAATATTATTTAAAAAGCAAAAACTGTGTGCACAGGTTTGAAACTATTTTTCCTTTTTTTGTTTTTCTTAACACAGGGTAATGATTATAAACACAGTTTTATACAACCATTGGCTTCTCTGACGGACACACAGGGGAAACTGCAAATAACCTTATGAGCTAATCACATGTTAGAAGGCTCAAAACATTCAGGCACCTATGTGTGGTGAAGATGGCTTGCTGAAGCTCACTTTGGGGAGCAGAGGGGGTTTAAGTGTATTTTAATGTGTCATGGTTGTTGAGGCCAGATGGGCTGGTCTGAGCGTTTCTGAAACGACTGATCCACTGAGATTTTCCACCATCTCCTGGGTTCACAGAGAATAGTCTATGAAAGAGAAAATATCCAGTGAACGGCAGTTGATGCCTTATTAATGTCATAGGTCAGAGCAGAGTGGGCAGACTGGTTCGACGTGATAGTAAGGCAACCATAGCTCAAATAACTCGTTAGAACAAAGGTATGAGGAATGCTGTCTCTGGACACACAGGAGAATAAATGTTGGGCCAAATGGGCCACAAGAGCAGAAGATGACAAAATGTGCTATCCCTGTCATCAATAATTCAAGTAGGTGGTGGTGCTGTAAAGGTGTGAGATATTTTTCTTAACACAAGTTGGACCTCTTAATAACAACTGAGCTTTGTTGTATGCCACAATTTGAGCATTGTTGTTGCTCATGAATATTCTTGAATATTCTTTATGATCACAGCATTACAGTCTTCTCATTGATACTTCTAGCGGGATTATCAACAATCCCCAAACATGTCAAACTGTTTTTTTTTTGTTTGTTTGTTTGTTTGTTTTTTAAACTTTGCACTTGATTTACTGTTCTCCAACGGCCTCCATAGTCACCAGCTCTCAGTCCAACAGAGCACTTCTGGGAAGCGGTGGAACGAGACATTTACATCATGGATGTGCAGCCAACAAATCTGCAGCTACTGAGGGGTGTTATCAAGTTAATATTGATCAAAGTCTCTTAGGAATTGAATTGTTGAATCTGTGTCATCAAGAATTAAGTACTTTCTGAAGGCAAAATGGGGATCAAGGCGTACCTAATTAAGTAACCGGTTAGTGTAGTCTTACATACCGATACATCCCCACTAATAGAATACAACAGAAAGATGTTAGCTTCTGGCAGAATCCTTGCTGGATATTTAACCGCTCTTCTTGGCAGAAATTGTGGAGTTCATTCTGCAAAAAACTATAGTCATTTCAAAACCAACTTTATTTGCAACCATTGCACTATTAGAACAAATGTCAGCCAACTAGCTTTTTAAGGTAAGATATATTTGTTCATAGTCCTCCAGATCAATCATTCCACCCACATTGTGCAATACAGGAACAACTGACAGCAAAACAGACAATAAGAATTATGCTGCCAATGTCCCGATTCACAGTAGGACCAGTGTTTTTTTTTTTTTTTTTTTTTTTTTTTTTTTTT